TTTTTTTTTTTTTTTTTTTGCTTTTTTGTTAAAAAAAATGTTTTTATTCTCCCAGCCAGGTTTTCATTTATTAAAAAAAAAAAAAATACACCGTCCTAGAACGCAATGAAAAATGAAATATATATGAAAAAAAAGATTTTAAAATTTAAATGAAGTCAAAAAAGAGCACAGACCTAGTATCCAACTAATTACTCCAGCGTCACCATTCCCATCAACTGATTCACCATCATCTGAAAGTTATTTTTGAACAAAATTAATACTATACCCGTATAAATACAGTAATCAAATGAAAACTTAACAAAAATGAAGATTAATTCAAAAGAACAAAAAATCGAAAAAAACATACTTACGTACAAATGAACTTAGAAAAAAGAAATGATGAGACTTAGGAATTGAAGAGAAGAATGGGTTGTATGAGTTCAAGATTACACCCATTTTGTAAAATCATTATCTTGAAGTAGGTAAATGAGCCGGCTAAAATTCTAGTCAATATCCAGAAAAAGTTTACAATTAGAGTAGAGAATGAGAGAAAAACTTTAATTCATGAATTAGGGTAGCACCGTGCAGAAATCATGTATTCTTGGGTGAAATTGGTGATTGTGTTGAAGAAATGGAGGAGAAGTAAAGAGGTATGGCGATAACGTGAAAAAATGGAGAATGAAAGTGGTATGGCTGATAGCGTGGAAAAAGGGAAAAACGATGAAAAAAAAAAAAAGATGATGTGAAATTGCGACACATGTCCAACAAAGTTTCGCTCTTTTATATATGTAGGATTGTATAGAGGATCTAGAGTAAACCAAAGAAATCAGCTGATCTTTGTGCAAAAATTTTTGAAAATCGAGGTTGGAGCAGAAGGGTGAAAATGTGTTATATCGATCAATTCACCGTTTTTTGTTCATCTAGGTGTCTCATATGGCCCATCACTTGATTGTCAACTACAAGAAGACAATTTGACAAGGGTGTGTGAGGCACGTGGCGATCAGATTAATTAAATTTGTTAAATTCAAAATTAACTATATCGAAATTTTAAAAATGAAATATCAAGTTGTCACGTGCACACGAGCAAGTAAAATCACAATTAAAAAAAAAAAGAAAGAAAAGCATTTCTCCTTTCCATACGTATATAGTTGACTAAAAATATTTGAAATAAATATAAATTACCATTTCGAGAACAAATGATTAAAAGGGAAATTAAAAAAGCATTAGAAAAACTTTATAATGGACACGTTTTGCTCCAAGATTCATCAAATTTGTTAAATTCAAAAATTAGGTACCATGAAATTTTTAAAAATTATATCAACTTATTAACAAAAAGGGCATCAAATGTGTTCGTATAATTAATTCTTCATCATAGATAGAAGTAAGTAAAATTACAATCAGAAAAATGAAAGAAAATTATTTGTC